ATGACTCCTCTCTGTGCCTCTGACTTTCTAACAGGGATGGATTAAGGCAGAATTGGGCAGAAAGGTAGAAGCTTTGCTCCTCCCACCCTCATGGATTGACTCTGATAGGGATTGCAATAGACACACAGAACAGACACCATTTGCATCATCTGTACTTGCATAGCGTGCAAGTGCATTCTCTTTTGTAAAATCACAGGCAGGCTGCATGCGCTATTTCCTGGTTTATTGTGGTGCATGAAGCCTGTAACTTGTCGCCTTGTGGATGATTCTACTCTGGTTTCGAAGTTTAATTTTATAGTAAAGACAGGAAATAATGTAATTTGCAGACCCTCTAGAATCTCATATTCTAATGCGTAGGCTGCTGGCTAGTAATTTGGTAATTTGAGTGTAGCATAAGTCATGTTTCATAATAAAGATGAATGGTTAACAGCATTTCTACAAGCTATTTGGTGATTTATCATACAAATACTTTTTCAGTGTATTATTTACTGTTATTTATGATTCAGTATATTCTTTTTTTTGGACACTAAAATGTTAGATACTCAATATTTTTCAAAACATCATTGAATGCTTGTGATTCCAGAAGACGTCAATTAGAGGTTCTGAAATATATGAACAGAAAGGCTGTGCATATCATGGTTTAGCACTTTATCATGTATGGTAACCCAGTTGTATACCAACAAACAGAATGTTTGACTGCCATTAAAAGAAGATAGAAAACTGCCATGGGCACTGAATATAGACACCTACCAACAGCAGCCTCCCAAATTGTCCTGTTACAGCCAAATCTCTGTCAGTTCTGACAGACAAAACCAGTCAAAAAAAGACAAAAGAAAATGGGATATTAATGGTGCTGATACCTTCTCTCAGAACAAATTCAACAACTAATTGGAATAAAATCATTACATTTTATTACAAAATTAATTAACATTGATTGGGGTAGCACAGTAAAACAGCGAGTCCACACAGGACTAAAAAAAAACTTTTCTTTTTCATAATTAACAGCAAAGCCCCCCAGAAAGCACTACCCCTCCTTATATAATACATAACATGATGGTATTAGAAATATTAAGACAGACCACACAATGTAACAATCTTTAGAAGGGGGTGCAAAGTTCAGACGCAAATCGCACTGTAGCTTCTTTAGGGGTTCAAAGGACGCAGTTGAAAATGGCTGAAATCCAAAAAGAAGAACCCCAATGACAAGGGGGGACAGAATCCAAGTCCAGTAATATAGTTTCATAGATATGTCAGTAAGCGCGGAGGGCAACAGATAGTACCAAAATGGAGAGGAAACGGCCCAAAGTTTCCAGGGCCATGCATAGGGAGTGAGAGCAACACTCCTAAGTAGTTAGACAGTAAAATTCCATATAAGCCTGTAGGACTATAAGACAACCTAGAGAGTTAACCATATAACTGTTGGATTCCAAAGGGGTGCTGTATTCACATCAGTAGTAGCACCTCTCTGTTGGATTCCAAAGGGGTGCTGTATTCACATCAGTAGTAGCACCTCTCTGTTGGATTCCAAAGGGGTGCTGTATTCACATCAGTAGTAGCACCTCTCACTCCAACTGCCATTCAGAAAGTGACCCCCTGACAGACAAAACTCTGAGACTCAGAGCTGATAAGCCCACCACATCCCTTCTGACCCATCACTATGATGGGCAGCCTTACTGGCCAATAGAAATGTGTAGGAGGCAGGAAGGGGGGGGGGGGGGGGGCAAGTTTTGGCGTTGACAGATCTGGCTGTGATAATGAGTGTTTGGAAAGCTGCTGCAGGAGAGTGCAGACACCTCTAGGTGAGTGCACTTTATAATTGTCATAGTTTTTGAAGACAGATTCTCTTTACATAATCCCAAAATTAGATTTATCCATCTATATGTAATTTTAGGACTGCAGTTATAGCAACTCTTGATGAGTGCCTAGTTCTTTACAATGAAAGGGAGCTACACAAAAAATTGGGATAACACCTACATTATTTCTTACATATTCCCATTCACATAGAATAACCTAAATAAAATTTAAATGGTGTTTACCTTTTTACTGAATGCAAAATCCTACCTAGGCTTTTCCCATCTATGTAATGTTAAGGAGGGGGCTCGGGAATTATATCTACCCTAATTACCCTGGCCTGTATTGTTTTTGCAAAATGTTCATGATTAGGGATAAACTCAGTGTTTGGTCCAAACAAAAGTAACTGTTATGGTGTTCGGCATTAATGAACATGACAATTTCTGGCTGTGAATGGTTGCTAAGGAACCAGTAGCTGCTTGCACGCTGCTGCGTCTTTACCAACTCCTGACTTTGCCCAGCCCAATTTCCTTAAATGGCGGGGAATCCCCAGCCACGTAAGCGAATGGGCAGGAATCATAGAGGTTACATCATTGCCTAAAGATGCCACATGGGAGAGGACCTTGTCTTCATCAACCAGGCATCTTCCATGTTGGGGGCATGTTGAGGGTATGTGGGCTGACATGGTTTTAGGAATGGGAAGACAGCTGCATGCTCAGATTAAAGGTCTGGTATGGATTTTTAGAAGGCCCTCACACTTTTTTTTTTTTTCCATACCGGTCTGGAAGTTTTTTTTTTTTTTCATCCTTGCTGTAAGATGTGCTAAAGCAAAAATGAAATTTACAAAGAAAAAAATAGCACACAGACCCCTTCAAAGCCCCCCCCCCCCAAAAAAAAAACCATTACCTTTTTTTTTCTTTATTAAGCCACCAATAAAATGTAATTTTCCAAAAATGATTTTCCTTTGAAAATGTCAGTGCTGCTGCAGAACTGCCTGCACCCCTCCACAGACAGAATTAGGGCACCCCCCAGGCATGTTATTTTAAAAAAAATTTGGCATTAAAAAAAAATCACTGCTCCTGGCAAAATGACATTTTTTACATCTATTTGCAATGGTGCAATTTCCCCAGGGCAGTGCCCACCCCTGTGCTAGTTTTTGACACCCCCTTGACTATTTACCGATGAGATTATCATGTTTAATTTGACAATTTGGTTCCCATTGATTTCACTGAGGTTTGGGTTCGACGTCCAAACCTCTTTGAAGTTCACCAAAGCCTGACTGAATTGAACCCAGGGCACTTTGGCTCATCCCCTTTCATGATCAATTGTACATTAGATGTGCACACTGTTCTAACAAAAGGTTAAAGATGTTGAATGCTTGAGTGGTGCATTGTATGTTAAGGCAGTCTTAAAAAAAACCTGTCTCTAAAATATATCCCCTAATTGCACATTGAATGTTATTCTGAGCAATAACAGTGGTCTCTAGAGTGCTATGCCTGCTCCAAAAAAAAATATATTATTCTTAATTATTTTTGGGTATGCTGTGTAAATGGGAATACATAACAAATATATAATAGTTTTTGCAGATTTGAGTGCAAAGGTGTAAATACACTTTAAGGGTACATCCAGGGGCAGACTGACCATTTGAGCACTTGGGCACTGCCCGAGGGCCCGGGGTCAGTAGGGGGCCCCATGACATGCCCCTGGTACCTTTTTTATAGGCTTTTTTGGGCGTGCTTTGAGTGTGGGCAATGACACAGGGGCCCCATAATCCCCTATTGCCCAGGGGCCCCATGAGTTGTCAGTCCGCCCCTGGGTACACCTAGCACAAGAGCTGAAGAGGAAGGGTCTGCCTGAGCTGCTTGGAAGAGTCATTAAACTCCCTTTATTTCAAGTAACAAATTGAAATTTATTCTTTTTCTTCAAGCTTTTGAAGAATGGTTAATGCAGTGGAATGACAGCATACAAGGTGTTCTGTGTCAAATACTGGAACACATTCTGGTTTAATGATTATTTATGATGGACACTAAGAAAAGGGTGGAGTCTGCAGAATGTTTTACTATATGCCTAGGCAGCATTATCTCTACATACAGTGCTTGGAAGAGTCATTAGGCTCCCTGTATATCAAGTAACAAATTGAAATGTATTCATTCTCTTCAAGCTTTTGTAGTATGGTTAATGCAGTGGAATGACAGCATACAAGGTGTTTTGCATCAAATACTGGAAAACATTCCGCCTTAAATATAGATCTATGATGGACACTAAGAAAAGGGTGGAGTCTGCAGAATGTTTTACTATATGCCTAGGCAGCATTATCTCTACATACAGTTCTTGGAAGAGTCATTAGACTCCCTGTATTTCAAATAACAAATTGAAACGTATTCTTTCTCTTCAAACTTTTGAAGAATGGTTAATGCAGTGGAATGACAGCATACAAGGTGTTCTGCATCAAATACTGGAACACATTTTGGTTTAATAATGATCTATGATGGACACTAAGAAATGGGTGGAGTCTTCAGAATGTTTTACTATATGTCTAGGCAGCATTATCTCTACATACAGTTCTTGGAAGAGTCATTAGACTCCCTGTATTTCAAATAACATGTTGAAACGTATTCTTTCTCTTCAAACTTTTGAAGAATGGTTAATGCAGTGGAATGACAGCATACAAGGTGTTCTGCATCAAATACTGGAACACATTCTGGTTTAATAATTATCTATGATGAACACTAAGAAATGGGTGGAGTCTGCAGAATGTTTTACTATATGCCTAGGCAGCATTAATTCTACATAGAGTGCCGCATGCTTCATCATGCTGCAGTATGCCCATTCTCTATGACATAATTGCACTTTATTGGGTGCATTTATGTCTCCTGCTCTTCAGTCAAGATAAACCAATTGTCTGAGTCTATCTTAAATAATCATTTATTAGACATTCATCTTCTCATGGCATGGCACTGCATAATCTTATATATAACTTATCAGAGCTGAAATAATGCAGGACACCGCCTTAGATGCTTAAAGAGATTATTTAAATGCAATGTCTCAGTGGAGCTTAGATTAGATATGTCTCCTTATTAAATTATCCATGCATTAACCTTCCCATATCTCTGGTATTTGTATTCCTGAGCTCTTATCTAATTTGAGGCTAACCACTGCAAGTTTTGACTGAGACAAATATCAATACATGTAATTTGATTGTGACTTACCTACAATGAGGCTGAGGGAATAGCCAATTGGTGCTTGAGCCCAAGCCAACCCATAGCCTGACACATACACGGCTTCTGCTGTTCCATTGATATAGCCTCCACCAACCCATGTTGCTAATTAAAGAGATTAGATATAAGTTGAATCATATATCCTTAAACACAATTATGCAATCATCTGAAATGTGATAGCATAAAAAGTAACAGACAAGTACAAAGTTTTTTTTAGACAGAAAATCTTTTTTTAGTTGGATGTTTAATGCCAGTATGCAAAATGACAACATATAGCTGATTATTGAATATAGTCATTCATTTCTGAAGAGAGCAATACTTTAACATCACTAACTTAAAAGCAACAGGTATGTAATATATTTTAATACATTACTTGCACTGTAACTATATAACTATCTATTAAAAATTAAGCAAGTCTTAACACTGGCACAACAAAAACAGACACCATTAGCTTTTCATTAATTATGCCACTGTTGTCACTTGAGCAAATATTTGCAGGATATTCATTTAATTTACTAAAGATAGTTGACAAAAATATTTTAAATGTCTGTAAAGGCAAAACATACACACAGGGGTTTATTTGTTAAAGCTGGAGAGTGCAAAATCAGACTCACTTCTGCATAGAAACCAATCATCTTCTAACCTCAGTTTGTTCAATTAAGCTTTGACAATAAAACCTGGAAGCGAGCCTGATTTTGCACTCTACTGCTTTAGAAAATAAACCCCATAGTACCACATACTAACATAGAAACATGCACAGACTCACATCATCCTATGTAGACATAGTAACATACATGCACAGTGAAACACTAAAACACAAAGGCACACACAAAGATTTAAAGTGCAACACACTAAAACACACAGACAAACACATAAAGTGACAAACAATCGTATACACAACCAGTTTCTGGAATATCCCTCTGTTCATATTCTCCTCTAACCTCTGATATCAAGAAGGCATTTTCATCCACACAACTGTCACTCACTAGATATTCTCTCTTTTTCGGACCATTCTCTGTAAACCCTAGAGATGGTTGTGCGTGAAAATCCCAATAGATCAGCAATTTTTGAAATACTCACACCAGCCTGTCTGGCACCAACAACCATGCCACGTCGCTTAAATCCCCTTTCTTCCCCATTCTAATGCCCGGTTTGAACTTCAGCAAATCGCCTTCACCAAGTCTACATGCCTAAATGCATTGAGTTGCTGCCATGTGATTGGCTGATTTGCAATTTATGTTACCAAGCAATTGAACAAGTGTACCTAATAAAGTGGCCGGTGAGTGTATATGTGGCGACACAAAATAAGTGTCTCCACACATATACTGTAAATGTTATACCATCATCCAGGGTGCTGTTGTTTGCTGGCACTGCTGATGAACCCAGACAGCCTGGTGTCATGACATGTTGATTGGGAAAGGCTGGCCAGTGAGTGTGTGTGTGTGTATATATATAAATATATATATATATTTTTTAGATTGTCTGTTTAGTATATTATAATTTTTTTTTATTTGGTAGTCATCTCATCCTTATAATGCATGCCCCGCTTTTAGGAAGCCATTTATTTAATTTTTACACTGGCACAGCACTCCATTGTTCCTTGCAAACAACCAACCAATTAATGAGGTATTTCTTTTTTTTATATGTCTTTGATTTGATGTCTCCATTGACCAGCTGAACAAATATTTATTTGCTGGATTTGCAAAAAAAATAATGGCTCTTTAGTAAATTGTGTTCTTAATATTCAGACACAAAAATTTGTATTTCTAAGAGCCAGAGTTAGTTAATACCTCACCTGATGGTAAGTTATGTACAGAGCATGTAACAAGTTTAAGTCAAGGAATGTTTTCTTACCAGTCATAGTAAAAGCACCAACGAGCAATCCAATGTCTCTGCCACCCACAATAATCCCTTCTCGAGGATCTCCATCCCCACGAGAGTTCTTAGTTCTCCAGGCAGCCCAGATACCGACAAACAGAATAGCCAAATAAAACAAGATTATAGCAACCAGCCCCTCCACGTGGAAAGCCATCTTCTTCCAGAGCCTTGTCTGGCTATTTCATTAATAACTCTGAGAAGGTGCAGTTCATTCGTCCTCCACACATGTAGAACTGTGAACGAAAAAAGCACAGATATCACCCACTTGAAAGAAATTTGTTCCTTTCTTTGCTTTGCTGAAAAGTCACTGATGAATATCAACAAGTCAGTCACCTGTAGCCGGAGACCTGTAAACAAATGCTCTGCTTGATTGATGTGATTTTTTTTTCTGTCATTCATTCACAAGCAAAAGAAATCCTATTCCCTTTGATAGTGTGTATCAGCAGGGAGCAATATTTCAACTGTGGTTTGCATATCACTTCATTCAAATGAATTGGACAAGCTGTTTTATGTATTTATCATTCCATATAAACACATTAGTGTAACTGTATGATTATTCTCTTTCCACTCTGTACTTGTTTCTTTCTGTCTATTCCTTTGACGAAGGATTTTGTTTTATCAAAGACTAGAATTTACAATGATCATTTTTTGTATGATCAGTGTCTAACATTATAAGGATCATTCAAAATCCTTATAGTGCTGCTCAGAGTTAATATAACATTTCAAATATATGAGTATTATCATCCTGGAATAGCTTACTAATTTGCTTTCCTGTTTAGATTGTTTTATATACCAACAATAAAAGTTTAACCTATCGCTTTACTCAAAAGATGAGAGAAATGAAGAGAAAAACAGTAAATGATGCATTGGTAGAGTACTTACATCACACATAGATTAGCTCACACAGTTGGTTAAAGGGCTCTTGAAAGCAGCATCATCCACCTGCAGGCTCAGAGTCACAGGCTGTGCTATTTTCCTGCTCTCCCTCTCATTGTACACACCCTGCTTCACAGGCAAGCGCACAATCCCCCTGCTGCTTCTCTGCTCCACAATCCACTTCTCAGTGAAGTAAAGCAAGAAATCCACCCCCTATGAGCTGCAGTCAGCTTCACTCTGTCAACTCATGCTGTCAAGGGCCCAGAGCAAAAATGCAATCTTTTCTGTTTTTATCTTATAAATGCAGAAGATGAACATGCATAAATGCAGCATTAAATGTTTTTAAAATCCTTAAGGGAATGCTTAAAGTCAGCATCATTGTTGTGCTGATTGGGTTATGGCATTAGAACTGTCCTGGGTGCTGTTCACTTAAGTGAAAGTCACTTAATCAAAGCATCTAGTTAATTAAGGGGGTGGAAGGCTAGAATAAGAATAGTCTATCCGCCTCACAATAGAAACAGGCTAAGTCATATGACCCAAGGTATCCCATGTCTTACATGGTTTTTTATATATATATATATATATATTTCAGGTACTTCTATAGCGCCGTCAATTTACGCAGCGCTTTGCATACATATTGTACATTCACATCAGTCCCTAACCCTCAAGGGGCATAAATCTAAGGTGATAATATATATATATATATATATATATATATATATATATATATCTCCAGTCAGTTACTACTTACTAGCAAAATGTTGCATAATAGGCATGAACCGAGTCACTCCCACTATGAAAGAATTGTCCAATTCTGCCTTCTTACCTGTGGCGCTTTGACATACAACTGTTCTTCCAGCAAAATGATTCTTGGTCTTGGGTATCTTCTTGACCTTTCCCAAAGTCCTTACTTCACCTTTTGGTGAATAGTAGAGAGCCCTTAGATAAAGATTACCATCTTTGTTTTAGCTTACTGAACATGCTACTGATAACTGGAACTCGCCTTCAATGATCTTGGTTTTATTAAAATAAATTTCTTTTAAAGCTGGACCTTCGTCAGAGCATCCATAATGGACGTCAGAAGGTGCTATATGGAATTGCAGTGGAATAAATTAAGAGTTATGGGGGAAGGGGTGTATGGAGGACAGGGGCTGTGAAAATAAAAAACGATCTGATGAAAATAGAGAAAAACATCGTCATAAGCTTAAAATAACTCTGGCACACCTCAGGAAATGTACATCCACTCCTGCATGACTTTTAATTTATCTTCTGTAGATGACGCACTGCAGAATCTCCCCACCTCTTGTGTCATTTGACTGATTGATAAGCGGACGATCTTCTCTGAATGGTTCTTCTGTGGATGCACTTTTGAGACTCAGCTGCTTTATACAAGTGACTGATTGATTGCATGCTGTAATAAAATGAACTGGAGGAAAAGATCAACACATCTTGTAGCCAGAACTGCCATGTACAAACTGGGAGATGTCACTTATTAACTTAGCTATGAAAAAGTGTTAACACGCCCTTGCCATTAGAAAAATTGTCCTATTTGGAGTCAATTTTTTTTTTTTCATTTCATCCAGGATATGCTTCATGCATTCATTTGTCTATGGATAAATTAAAAAAGGGACATTAGTGGATTGATAGTACATGCCAGATCTTGATAAAAAAAATAAGATTAAGGCATGACTAAACTTACACAATCTGGTGAAAACTCATTTGTGCATAGGTTTCATCAATCTATAAATACCACTGAATGTTTTTTGCATTAAAAATTTTACACACTAACTTTACACAAAATGTGTACAATCCATTTTCATTGCAGTTTTTTGTGAATATTCAGAATTTTACATGACAAACTTTTATCAGCAGGTATAAATGTGTACATATTTTTGTTGCAAAACATATTGAAAATAAATAAAGTATTATACCAATCTACATAAACAGGCCTCATAATGTAGAGGTAAATTGTTTTTTGAACTATTTATACGTCTCTTAATATATATTTTATTCTAACAACATATTTTTTCTACAAACTGCAGTTGTCTGCTATCTGTATTTCTTAATTATATATTGTTTTTATGAATAGGAAACCAAGCCAACTTTACAGTTTACCTATTGTTATTGAAGATATTGAGTAATCTTGCAAAAAATGAGCCATATAAAATCTTCCATTTATATTAGCACCAACTGCAAAGACACTTCTGTAGTATTTTGTTATTTCTTACTTGTGTTGTGGCCTGTATTTTGTGACATTTATGAAGTAACAATAGAATGAAAAAGCCAGGACAAATACAAACTTAGGGATACAAAAGTGATGGTGTCTTAATTTCATATTTGCATTGGATTTGAAGAACAAAAAACATGTATGCATAATCAAAACCATTTATTTTTAATTTTGTGCAGAGTAGTGAAAAGTTAAAGTCCTGCAATTTTGTTTGTTTTTTTTGTTTATTTTGGGAAGGTTTACCCTTACTTCCTGTGCGAAGAACCCAACAAGACAAAAGAGGAAATTTCCACAAAGTAAGGAGAATTCATCTAAAGAGATAATTGCTGGAAGAGAAGCCTACAACTGAAGGTTTACACTCACCTCTTGCTTTGGGGACATCTCTAAAATTTAACATGTCATATCACTTTCTGCCTCAATAAAAATGGCCGACAGAATAAACAGGAAGAAACTACATAATGGGGGGGGGGGGGGCACAAAAAACAATAAAACTAATCCTTCCATACTCTAACTACTCCTTATCCATAAGGGTCAGAGAGCACGAATCCACCCAGTGAGGACACAGCCATACAACTTTACAGGGGTTATACTCTTTCTCTACTCTGTCTACTCCATATCCATAACAGTCAGAAAGGATGAAAATGCCCAGCAAGGACACAGACAGCCATACAACATTACAAGGGTTCTATTCCTTCCCTACTCTATCTTTTCCTTATCCTTAACTATTAGTGAAGATGAATCTGCCTAGCAGGGACACAAAGAATGCCATACAACTTTACAGATGTTCTAATCCTTCCCTATTCAATCTACTCTTTATCTTTAACAATCAGTGAGAATGAATCTACCTAGCTGAGAAACAGAAAGCCATACAACTTTACAGGGGTTCTAATCCTTCCCTACTCTATCTACTCCTTATCCTCAACAAAGAGGATAAATCTACCTAGCAAGGACACAGAAGTCCATACAACTTTACAGGGATTCTACTCCTTCACTACTCCATCTACTCCTTATCCTTAATAATCAGTGAGGACGAATCTACCTGAATGAATCTACAGAATGTCATAAAACTTTACAGGGGTGCAGCATGGTATATTAACTCCCAAATAATAATAACTCCACAGTCATTTTTTATATATGAAATAATAACTTCCCAGTCATTTTTATATATAATAAAAAACTCTCTCTATGTAATAATAACTCCCAAATAGAAAAAGGCGTAAGTTATCTCAAATAAATTCAATTTTTGAATTAAATGTTTATTAATAAACAAATGAGTGCATTTATAACTTGGAATTTGCCATTTTTAAAGAATTTGCACTTTAAAGAATTGATCCTCCAAATAATTAATGAATGATAACGTTCAATAATTAAAACCTGTTAATGCTCTTATGTATATATTAACAGATAAGGCATATTAATTTAAGCTCTTACTTTCAACTTTTATGTAATTTAGCTTCTTCAAAACTAGGAGAGTTATTATTACATAGAGAGAGTTATTATTACATATATAAAAATGACTGAGGAGTTATTATTATTTGGGAGTTAATATAACATACTACATACTACAATATACAGTTGCAAGAAAAAGTATGTGAACCCCTTGGGATTACGTGGAGTTTTGCATGAATTGGGCAACTGTGAATGTTTACATGTTATGTGCAATTAAACCATGGCAACATCTAATGTTTGTGTAGTATTATGTTCAGCAGACTGTGTTCTTCTATTGTTGTGACTTAGATGACGTTCAGAGCACATTTTATGCCCAATTCATGCAAAACTCCACGTAATCCCAAGGGGTTCACATACTTTTTCTTGCAACTGTACATACTAATCCTTCCCTACTCTATCTACTCTTTATTCATAACAGTCAGAAAGGATGAAACTACTTAGCAAGGGCACAGAAAGCCGTACAACTTTACAGAGGTTCTAATCTTTCTCAACTCTAGCTACTCTTTATGTCCTTTATTGTAATCAGGTATTATCTTCTAGTAATCTTTCTCTCTTCTCTACAAATTCAGTTAAAATACACACTCTGGTCACCGTTGTGTAGG